AGCCCTCTAAGCCCTAAAATAAACCCCACGGTTCTCCTTCTTCTCCGTCTTGGGCGCCTCGAGCATCTCGACGACTTCCTTCTCCTCGTAGCCCTAAACCCTAAACCCTAAACCCTAAACCCTAAAGCCCTAAACCCTAAACCCTAAACCCTAAACCCTAAACCGGCAGAGAGCCGAATACCCCTACGGGCTCCAAAAGGCTCGAGACTATCCCTACCCCTCAAAGGACTGTTTAGGGTTTAGGGTTTAGGGGTGGGTTTAGGGTTTAGGGGTGAGTTTAGGGCTTTAGGGGTTTTGGGCTTAGGGGTTTTGGGCTTAGGGGTTTAGGGTTAAGGATTTTGGGCCCAAAGACCCTATCAAAAAAGGCTTTTTGGGCTATTTTGATGCTAAGGGCATCCTTCTTGGGTTCCGTCAAGGGTTTAGGGTTAAGGCTTTCGGTGTCCTTCATGGGTTTAGGGTTGGGGGTGTAGAGGTTTAGGGCTCGAGGTGTGGAGGTTCCTGCTGAAGGCATAGGATTTCAAGCTATTCCATAAAGTCGGATAGGGATTAGGGTTTAGGGTTTCGGGTTTAGGGTTTAGGGTTTAGGGTTTAGGGTTCGGATAAAGTATAGCTGTTCCACAGTTGTTCTTACGCCACAAGTGCCTCGAGCCTCCAAGTAGGGATCGAGGGTGTAGGGTCTGGGGATCTAGGGTCCAAAATCCCAAGGCCTCTAGGGTTTAGGGTTTAGGGTCTTAGGCTATCAGGCTATTAGGGTTTAGGGTTTAGGGTTTAGGGTATTAGGCTATCAGGCTATTAGGGTTTAGGGTTTAGGGTTTAGGGTCTAGGGTTTAGGGGATTAGGCTATTAGGGTTTAGGGTTTAGGGTTTAGGGTCTAGGGTTTAGGGAATTAGGCTATTAGGCTATTAGGGTTTAGGGTTTAGGGTCTAGGGTTTAGGGGATTAGGCTATTAGGGTTTAGGGTTTAGGGTCTCGAACATCTGCGGCGTCTGATTCGCATCCTCAGACTGCCCATAAGCCACCGAACCCCCACAATCCAGGACCACCCACGACCCATATTCCTAATTCCTACTCGGACGGCTGTAATTTTAAACGCCGCGTCCGAGAACCAACCTCACAAGCCCTGAACCCTAAACCTCTAAACCCTAAACCCCTGAACCTGAACCCTAAATTTGAGGGTGTAAGATTTCTCATTTTTAGGGCTTAGGGTCTAAGATTTCAAGGTTCAGGCTTAGGATTCGGGGTTTCGGGGTTCAGGGTTTAGGTTTTTCGGGGCTTATAAGTTTAATAATAGGGTTTCGAGTTTGAGACCCTGAAACCTTATGCCACCTTCAGATTCCAGCCCGAACGAGACCTTAAGTCCTAAACCCTGAATTCCCTATTAACCCTAAACAGCCCTGAAACATTATCCCTGCCTCTAGTTGCCGAAGAACCGCGCTTCCACCTCAAAAGCTCTGGGAGTTCAAAAAATGCGTTTTTGTTGATCTTCAGGTGCCTCTGTGTTGATTTAGGGTTTAGGGTTCGGGGCTTAGGCCTTATAGGATCCAACATGGGGACCTTGTACAGTACTCTACAAAAAGGTTTTGGGGTATATTCTGCCATAGCTACGTATGTAGGTACCGTAACTGTCCTGAAGCCTATGAAACGATGCTGTGGTCAGCATAGAGTCGCGGAGTTGCACTTCGAAGACTCTCAACAAGAGGCCAACAAGCAGCAACCTCTACATCTCCGGGCCGTACAATGCCCGAACTGAAAACCTTCTCTAGACCTACACTGTTCTCTAAATCCCAAAGCCTTAAAGGGTTTAGGGGTTTAGGCTTTAGGGTTTTAGGGTCCAGGATTTAGGGTTTAGAGTTTAGGATTTTTGTAACAGATAAGAAGACCAACCATAGCGGCCCCGGACACACAACGCTGAAGTATAGAACGGACCTCATACCAAACTCGTCCAAAGTGCACTATCGGGATCTTGATGATTAGAATGTGGTTGGCGGGGAGGGGGGGGGGATGATATACCATGAATATAATGAGAAGGCCACAGGAACTTGCGAATAGATGCCTTGAGCAAACCCTATGGCCCTCTAACCAAACCCTAAACCCCCGAGGCCTAAACCCTAAACCCTAAACCCTAAACCATAAACCCTAAACCCTAACCCCTACACCAAGGCCCTACAGCAAGGCCATGAAGGCTCATCCTTGCCCAGCGCAGGGACCAGGGGTTGATGCTTCGGCAAAACGTGGACTTTTGAGTGCCCAGATCTACCAGTTTAGGGTTTAGGGTTTAGGGTTTAGGGTTTCAGGTTATTCCGAAATTAAGAAGCACACTTTAGACTTCATTTAAAAATTAGGATTAGGGGGAATATTTGGGGATATAGACCCACTCAATATGGTCCCTTTTAAGAGAGCCGTAAGTAGGGTTAAGACGCGTCCCCCCTTAGTTGCAAGATAGGACCTGATCTATCCCAAGTGCAAGATTCACAATGTACTCATTGGCATGGTAGCAGCAGCAAGTCAACTGAAGTCACAACAGCAAAACTAAGTGCAAGCGGTATGTTCGAGTAACTATCATCAGTAATGCTTCGGCTACTAGACAGCTTTCAGGACCAGCAGCACCACCAATCGTGGCACTGTCCCTGACATTATCAGCAACATGACTGAACATAAGTCTTTCCCCTTGCCCACCAAGCAGTGCAGCGGCCCGCAGAACTAGTCTCGGGTTTGCGTGCATGTGCTAGTCTACACTCGTGACAAAGAGCCCCCCCCAAGCAATAGTAGTACTGAGAGCAGAGCCCACAGTCTGTTAAAATGAGATCACATCCAAAATCATAACCATGCGCCCGTTACCTCTTGAGATGTAATCCCGAACTCAGGGGTATGGGTATGGGGCTCTATGAGCATCAGAGCCCTTACTGCAGAGATCATGGTTTTGGGGCATGACATGTACTCTAGGTTCCCCAGTAGCCCCATCATAATGAGGGTGCCCTTTTTCCTACGATTCGGTGTGGATAATAAGGGAACTCCAAAAGATAAAGGCCAAACGGGTACCACTGGAGAACCCAGTCAACCTCGAACACGTAGCATCGGTCCCTAAACCCTAAACCCTAGACTTAATATTCCCTATATAAGGGTCCATGTACCCAAACAGCGCATACTTTGGCCTTAAAATAGTCCCTGCTTGGGTACGTTGGTGCCAATGTATATACTAGATGAGCACATGGACCTTTAGGGATTGGTAGGGCCCCAGCTCCGGAAGGCAGTTTCCATCGGAAGGGTCTTCTTTACCTCAGCTTCAGTGCAGCTCGGAGTGAGAGCAGAGCCTAGGTAATTAGGGTTTAGGGTGTAAGGCTTAAGACTTAGGGTTTAGGTACGAAGCCGAAGGGGCCTAAGTACCTATGTTTGGGGGATTAGTGATCCCAATAAAAGATGGTAATTCCTAACAGAAACCCTACCGTCTACTATGTACGCACTTAGGACCCTTCGGGGAAGTAAGCGAGCAAGCTTAGGCTATGCTTTAGGGTTAAGGGGCTAGGCCATAGGCTTTAGTTTAAGGATCAGGGAACCAAGATAATGCAGAGACATGCAGAGACCCAAGATTCCTAGATTTGCCGAAGACTCCACTGTCCACAGGTGTACTAGCGGCTTAGGGTTTAGGGTTTAGGGTTTTAGGGTTTAGGCCTTGGTAAGGATACATCCATGTCTCCGTTCAACAACACTGATGATAAGCCCCACCACTCGATGGAATTCGGGGTGCCCTGGAGGTAAACCCGAACACCACTCGACACGTTGTGGTATAGCAGTTTAACATGTGCCATTTGGCTTTGGGATTACCTGGACCCTATAATAGCATGTAGCGCGATGGCAGTTTATAGGAATTGCGCCATTATTGTACCTAGTTTTTGGGGTTTAGGTAGGGCTCAAAAACCCAAACCCCAAACCCTAAAAACCTAAACCCTGAAAACCTAAACCCTAAGCCCCAAATCCCAAAAACCTAAACCCTAAACCCCTAAACCCTAAACCCTAAACCCTAAAACCTAAACCCTAAACGACGAACTGCAACCGCAAATGCACACAATCGACACACCAAAGCCCAAAGCTCTCAGCTCAAACCGAAGTCTGCAAACAGGGATTTGGGGTTTAAGGTTTTAGGGGATTTAGGGGTTTGAGGCTTAGGGATTTAGTGATTTACGGGTTTAGGGTTTAAGGATTTAGGGTTTGTGCAGGAGTTTAGGGATCTTGGCTTTGTTTGCCGACCCTTTTCCTCTCACGAAAGGGGGGTGTTAGGGTTTAGGGTATAGAGTTTAGGAATTGTCCTGCAGATACTTCTACTCTACTTTCTCGGGTGCGGGTTTGGACCGGATCCCTGAACCCTGAGCCTTACAGCTTGACAGCTCACTCCATCACTAATGTAGGGGCCTTAATAATTAGAATAGGGTTTTGGGGTATATTGTACTATAACTGTAATAAGGAACCCCAAAACAATCTACCACTACAGTAGCTCTGGCCCAAGACTTGCCAACAAGACCAACATACACCCTCCCAGCCGCTGCCGAACTGCTGGCTCTACAACATCGTCAACAGGACACAACGGCATAGAGGGACTTTAAAACAAGAGTTTAGGGTATAGGGTTTAGGGGTTTAGGGTGTATGGTTTAGGGTTTAGAAACGGTATAGAGGGACTGTAAAGCAAGAGTTTGAACAATACATCCCACAAATGCAACCTTGTCTCCTGATCCATTAATGAACCCTCCTCGGCTGTCGAAGTTTCTAAAGTCAAGGTGAGTCCGGGACCATGTGATGCTGGTCGCTCTCCTCGACGTAGCACGTACCTCAGAGAAAGATGTACTGCTTCGGGCTTGCCTCCGCCCTTAATTGTAGCCCTTGTTTGGCTATTGCGGTTACCGTGACTTCTTTTCATATAAGAGCGTAAACATAAGCTAGGGCATCCATGAATGTGCCCTACAGTACACGTCACGGTTTAGGTATGGCCCGGAGCCACGACTCAGGACGATGTGAGCCTATGGGCTTAAGGGTTTTGTGGTGAGGCCCTACACTTTCGGGTCGGTTCGATTATTATACTTGAAGGACTGCAGGACTTGGCAAGGAATGTGTGGATGGACAGAAGAAGGTTAAAACCTATCAATCTATCTGTCTGTCTATGCATCTATCCATCTATCTATCCATCTATCCATCTATCTATCCATCTACACAGTTATCCATCTATCATCTATCCATCGATGAGTCCATCTATCGTTCTATCTATCTTTCTATCTTTCTTTCTTTCTGTTTATCTATCTATCCACCTGTCTATATATGTATATATACATATATCTATCGATCTATCTGCCTATCTATCCGTCTATCCATCTATCCATCTTTTTAAGTAACTATCTAACTATCTATCTATCTAACTATCTAGATATCGATCTGTCTCTTGATCTATATGTCCATCTTCTATCCTTCTACCTATCTATCTATCTATCCATCCATCCATCTATCGCTCGATCTATCTATCTCTCGAACTATCTACCTCTCGATCTATCTATCGGTCTATCTATCTATCTATCTATCTATCTATCTATGTATCTATCTATCTCTCCCTCTCTCTCACTCCCTGTGTCTATGCATCTTTTTTGCTGGCAGGCCTTCTGTCTGTCTTTATTCGTGGGTCTATCTCTCCATCCATCCAGCCATCCATCCATCTATTGCGGCTCTGTCACTGCATACACATATATACATATATATGTATATCTACATACATATATAAATATATACGCTATCGGAATCTTGCAGGAACCGTGTGTTATAGGAACCTCATCAGGATGGTTTAATGATTAAGGCATTGGCCTTGATAAGTGCAATAATAGGGTTTTGGCTTGGGTGTATACGATACTGTACCCATAATCAGGAAACGCCCAAACTTGTTACTTTATTATTTAGGCCTCCATATTACCGTAGCATTTCTGATACACTGAGACTGCGTTGTGCCCAGCAAGGACTATGTCTTCTTGGGAACAGCAGGTTCGAGGGCAAGTAAGGCGCCCCAGAAAGGACCACAGAAACACAAAGACCTCACAGGTAAGGTGTTCTACCATCCCCTTGTAGATGGGGCCTTAATGATTATAGACCAGTGTTTTCGGGCAGATTTAATTGCAATTATCACGGCGACTTTCCAGGGATAGGATTACGAACTAGACAGACCTCTATTTCAGGATCCGTATGCATGTGTTGTTTATTTTGTGCGTGTGCGTGTGCGTGTGCGTGTGCGTGAGCGTGAGTCTGAGTGTGAATGCACGAGTGAGTGGGTTAGGTGAGTGAGTGAGCGAGCGAGGGAGGTGGAGTGGTAGTGGTAATGAGAGTGAGTGCGTGTCTGTGTGTGTGTGTGTATATGTGTGTGTGTGTGTGTGTGCGTGCGTGCTTGTGAGTGTTTAGAGGGAGGGCTCCATGTTAGTGCAGACTGTCACTCTGAGAACTTGGCCAGAATTTCCTGTGAGCGTCACCCAACCTTCCTTGTCGTCTCTCCAAGTCCTGTGGGTATATCAGGAGTAGTTCCATTGATCCTGCTACTTTGTTTGCAGCAGTACTAGTGCCATTACCCGTCGCTCCAACTTTGCCACTGAGTGTTGGCGCGCAGGAAGTTCATCAGCATTCGGCACATGGCGTCTCGCTGCATACAGAACTCTCGTGCAACGGTCAGGATTTGGTCTGGGCTCTGGGAACCTCGGGTCCCAGGTGTGGTGGCTACCACTCCTACTACTACTACTACTACTACTACTACTACGACTACTACTACTACTACTACTACTACTACTACTACTAGTACTAGTACTACTACTACTACTACCACTACTTCTACGACTACTACTACTGCTCCTGCTGCTGCTTCTACGACTGCTACCACTTCTACAACAACAACAACAACAACTACTACTACTACTACTACTACTACGACTACTACTACTACTACTACTAGTGGTACTACTGCTACTACTACGACTGCTCCTACTGCTAATGCTACTGCGACTGCTACGGCTACTGCTACTGCTACTGCTACTGCTACTGCTACTGCTACTGTTACTATTACTGTTACTGTTACTGTTACTGTTTCTGTTACTGTTACTGCTACTGTTACTGCTACTGCTACTGCTACTGCTACTGCTACTGCTACTGCCAATGCTGCTGCTGCTATTGCTACTTGCCACTGCTGCTCCTACTACTACTACTACTACTACTACTACTACTTCTACTACTACTACTACTACTACTCCTACTACTACTACTACTACTACTACTACTGCTACTACTAGTACCACTGGTCTAACACTTGTAAAACTAAAACTACTGCTACTACTACTACTGCTACTACTACTGCTACCACTACTACGACGACGACGACGACGACGACGACTACTACTACTACTATTGCTACTACTGCTGCTGCTACTGCTACTGCTACGCACCACTGCTACCACCACTGCTACTACCACCACTGCTACTAC